CTAACTTTAACGTTTTAATTTGCTCTCCTTGACAGTAAAGTGCATATTTTAGGATAAATAAAGTAGACTACCTCCAATAAAACATTGACAAACCTCTCATGTACACATAAAGATGTAATTAAATGCCAAAACTTGAATAAACAAGAGCTAGTAGCCTAATGCTAACGTTTCCTCTGCTAAGATGCTAACGGACTTTTTCCAAAGACACAACCGTCTCTATAAAATACATATTCAACTGAAACATGTCAATTGTCAGTAAGAAAGGTGTCGGAAACAGTTGTATGTAACATTTGCATGATTTTAGCGACTTAACTTACCTGAAATTAGTGAAAACTGCCGCATGAGAGAAGTGCTGTTGACGGTCAGGGGTCGTGTCGTGTCGTGTCGTTGCTCCATTTCCATGACAACGCTCTCTGCTGCAGTGCTGGAATAAGGCTCGGTAATGCACACTTTAAAGTAATGCAGCCTGAACGCAGCATTTACATAAACATTTAAACAATTTAAAAACAATTTAAATAATGGCATTTAATTTTAAATCTTGATTTTTAAACGTATTTTTTTGTGTTATGCTGATTTCACTATACCGGTATAGAATATAGTCTAACCGGGTTAGCTTGCATGTGTGGGCATAGTTTGATGTCTTTACTTAAAACTTTTAACACTTATTATTTGAAATAAAACGAAAATAAATAAGGAGAATAAAATAATGTAAAGCACTTGTTTGGCGCTGAAAGATCTGTCTCATTTATATAAACAGCATCGTTGCACTACCTAATTCATTGATGTAATAATGAAACTGTGCGTATTATTATTACTATAAAAGTATATTATACTGCCTTAAGTCAGTAACTTGGGCAGCAATGCAAAGTAATAACAAATAAGTGAATAAATAGCCTAAATGAAAGGAACAAGAGGGTCCAAAATCAGTCATAAGGTCTGCCCTATTAAAATGCCCCTGGCGCAGGGCCTGTCAGGGATGGCATTGTGGAGTTTTGCTATAACGCACATCAAACGCACCCAAACAAGCTAACCAACGTATTCAAGACCACTAAAGCTGGCAGGAGCTTGATGGGCTGGAGCTAAAATCTGCATTAGCCCTCCAACTGATGTTGCCCATCCAGCCCTAATAGTATTAAGTCAGTTTGCGTTTGCATAGACCTGCTATGTCAATGTAACGTCAATGTAACTTTACATTTTATTCATTATTTTAATTTATATTTTGCTAATTAATACTTAACTGTAAAAATGTTATTGAATCTACTTAAACTATTTACGTTCAATATGTCTGTTACAATGTTTAATATGTGTTAGTTGAGAAAGTTATTGTTGTGCTCCGGCTCCTTTAAGGGAGGCGCACTGGAAAGCAGGAGAGAGAGGGAAAAAAGGAAGTGGAGGAATTCGGCAGATGCAATGCTGTTGTAATGTTGTTTGTGAATGTTATGTCGATGCTCCAGATTAAATAAAAGAAACGAATTATCACCCTGGTATCCAGCGTTTATTTGCGATGCCCACGTTGAAGAGAATGGTCTGTAAACAGCCAGAAATAAGGGTTACAACAACATGCCCGGTCACTTTTGCCAAGGCACTTCCAAAAATACATTTCTGCTGATGCCATCTATCTAAAATGAACATTAACAAGCATAAAGACGTGGAATCTATCTATGTTAAAAGGTACTTTGTAATAAAGCATTTGCTATCAGTTCAGAGTGCCACGATCAGTGGTGAATTAGTCTTGTCTGGTTCTGTTCATCGTTGATTGGGTGAGAGCAGCTCAAGCTTACTGGCTGTGGAAATCAGCGGGAGTGGCTCATTATACTTCAGGAAAGCGCCGTTCATAACGCGCGTTTCAGTGGGGTTAAAACGGCGTTTTAAACGGCGTTTTGTGGCAAGCGGAATGCGTCATAAGCCGCGCTTTTTACTAACACTAAAACGGCGTTAAAAACGGCGTTTTTTACAGGTTTACGCGCGTTATTTGCGGCGTTTGCAACCAGAACGGCGTTTTTAGCGGCGTTTGAAATGGTATTAGCGCCGTTTAATGCGGCGTTTTAATTGTAAACGCGATTGATTAATAGTGTATTTACGATACCTTCGGCTTGCCATACACACACTCACACACACGCACGTGGCGGATTGCCAATAAATAATCAGCGTGACCCTTTTTTACGGGATTTCTCCCCCCTCCCTTCCCCGTTCACACAAGGTGAAGAGTTGCATTGCCCTTGCGGATATAAATGCGGTCGGTGTGTTATGACTGATGATATTTGACCACACACATGTTGCATATTATACAGTTTTACTGGGCTGTGTTATGTGTTCATGTTTTATATTTGGCTTTTTGCACAGCCGCGTGTTGTAATTTGATTTACCGTCATATACATGATGGAATGTTTCATGAAAATTATTTTTTTCTGAAATAATTGAGCATATCATCAGGATTCAAATTTGGGTTTTACGAGAAAAATGCAAGGTTATAAGTTAAGAATACAATTTACAAAATGGTGTATTTAGTATAGCATAGTGTAGTATTGGCAGGGCTGATTGACATGCAAGACCCTCTTTACTGGCTGGATTTGTTCCACACGCCACCTATAGGTTGACAGCAGAAGACCATCCCCTAAAAGGACGGGATAATTTTATATTCACTATTACATTATATTAAACTATACCATGTTGTGTAGTGTAACCAGTTACAGTACTGTAACTTAAAATATTATTTTTGTTATGCATCATATACATATATACACTCATGTATCATATACATAAATACACTCACCGGCCACTTTATTGTGTACACCATACTAGTACCAAGACCCATTTTGATTTTGGTCCATACTGACATGATAGCACCACACAGTTGCCGCAGATTTGGCGGCTGCACATCCATGATGCAAATCTCCCGTTCCACCACATCCCAATAGTGCTCTATTGTATTGAGATCTGGTGACTGTGGAGGTCATTTGAGTATAGTGAACTCATTGTCATGTTCAAGAAACCAGTCTGAGATGACATGGCACGTTATCCTGCTGGAAGTAGCTATCAGAGGATGGGTACACTGTGGTCATTAAGGGATGGATATGGTCACCCAGTGTGGTCTTCTGCTGCTGTAGCCCTTTAGCCTTAAAGTTCGATCTGTTGATCTTCTCGGTTGTAATGAGTGGTTATATGAGTTACTGTTGCCTTTCTATCAGCTGGAACCAGTCTGGCCATTCTCATCTGACCTTTGGCATCAACAAGGCATTTGTGCCCACAGAACTGCCGCTCACTGGATATTTTCTGTTCTTTGGAACATTCTCTGTAAACCCTAGAGATGGTTGTGCATGAAAATCCTAGTTGATCAGCAGTTTCTGAAATACTCAGACCAGCCCATCTATGCAAACATACTATTATAATATACTACACAATATATACTAAGATATCATTTACACAATAGTGTTTGGAAAAGTAGGTGCCAAGTTCTGAACTTAACTAAAATAATTTTAATGTCAAATAGCCTATTTTTATATTTAATTTAGCCTATTTAGTCATGTACCCCTGACAAAGGCTGAAATTTAACAAAAGTATTTGCAGCGAATGTAATAAGAATTAAAACCCGATTAAATTGTTTTCTAGTAGAACATTTTACAATATATTGTAAAAATGGATAATATTTTGTATTTAATTTGATTTAAAAACATGGTAGGTAAAAGAAGATACTGGAATCTGCATCAAATTATACTTACAAAAGTGATTTTACATGTAAAGAATAGAAATGCAACAAAACAGTCTATTGTTTCAAATATTAAAAATGTAAAAAAAGGTAAATATAATTATTCTGTAACATATACTGTACCTTTAGTAGGAAACTTATGTATGTTAAAAATGTATATACGGGGTATCTGCAGGGTCTTAAAAAGTCTTAAAATGTCTTAAACTTCAAAAACAAAACTTTAGGGTTTAAAAAGTCCTAAAGGCTAAAATATGGTCTTGTAGCTCTAAAATCATTTTAAACGGGTCATAATTTTCCTTTGTTTATGTAAAGCTACCCAATCGATCTAACCACCAACAAATACATAACTTTGAGCAGTTTGTTGTCCATACATTTAGTTTTAGTTTGTGTGTAATAGTTATGTTGCAAAAAGTACATAACTAGGGTCTGCTTCTTTTGACACATTATTTAAAATATGTGGCTAAGTAATATATATATATATATATATTTTATTTTATTTTTTTAAATCGCAAGTACATTTTTTCCCCTCATTGGTCATTAAAAAATCGTTAGCGTTTAATTCAATTCAATTCAGCTTTATTTGTACAGCGCTTTTACAATGTAGATTGTGTCAATGCAGCTTCACATAAATGGTCATAGTAATTGGAACAGAGTAGTTCAGTTTTTAGTGTTTAAGTTCAGTTCAGTTTAGCTCAGTTCAGTGTGGTTCAAAATCATTACTGAGAGTCCAAACACTGAAGAGCAAATTCATTGATGCGTAGCTCTAAGTTTAACCCTAGTTTACCCCTATGTAAGTAAATAAATTAAATTTAAATTTAAATTGAATTCTTCATGGTCTTAAAAAGGTCTTTAAAAATCTTAAAATTGACTTTGTGAAGAAATTCTACGAATACAGAATGCTACAGTATATGCATTTTTATGTAATAAATACATGAATTAATAGTTGTTGTTTTTTTGGTTTCACAAAGAAACACTGCCAATGACATCTTATCAACACTAAAAGTTCTTTATCCTCCAATCCTGTATCCAAATACTATGTAAGTCTATGTTAAAATATAAAGGAATCCCAGATACAAAAGGCTACAAAAAATACGAAAAAAAAAATGAACGAATGAATATATATAAAAGAATCACAAAGATACACTGCCAACAATACCTTTTCAACTCCGCAAGTTAGCATTTTCGTTCTCTACAATCTTCGGTATCGTGACCATCGTGACTGGTGTCAAAGACCAAAGAATATTAATAAAGTGACTTTGCTGGTGTGCACACAGTGAATGCGTTTAGATAAAGTTTCTACATTCAAAGAGTCAGTAAAACATGGCGGCGCCCATGAAATGGAAAAGACTTGTGTTCTCTGCGTATACTCCAGCCTTTTCCTGGGTTTTCACAAGGATAACAGACCGCTTTTTCAGGGCACATGATCGGAGGAGAGGGTAAATCATAGCCACCACTTGCATGACACAAAGCCAGTAAACCGAAATCGCGTAAGAACAAGTCTGGCGCGTTTGGCTAACGTTAGCTTGTGGTTGTGTAAGGGAGAGGTCTTACATTCATGCGAGGAGTAACAGTTATAAAAGGGATTTAGGAATAGTTCGGATGTCTAACAGTGATAGGAACAATTTTGGCGAGTGATGCTTTAGCTTTATTAATGTTTACCCGCTTTTTCAATAAGCAACATTATATAGTTCACTCAGCAAATTTATATTTCAACTCCGAATTCTATAAAGGTGAATATTTACTCGTAATCATCTTTCAAAACGTAATCTTTTACGTACTAAAGAAACATATCGTTTAATAAGTCATACATGTTTGGAACACAAGGGGTTAACTAATCCCTTAATGAGCTGTCAAAAAGGTTAGTGATGGTAGTTGAGCTAGCTAAATAAACAAGACTGTAGGCAGATGACTAGGGTTTGTTACCGCTTGTTTCTAATAAAGTGATATCTTTTATCAAAACTAACCATGGTTTGCTACAAAAAAAAAAAAATTTGGTTTAGTCATTTATTTCTAAAATATAGTCGCATTAGTCGTATTCATTTGAAAAATTGACAGCAGATGACACTTACGAGAAGCATATGATGATGATGTTTTATCAGAATAAATTGATTCATTTTAAAATACAATTATTAGTAGATGGTAGTTGAGCTAACTAAATAAACAAGACTGTATGTGGATGACCAGGATATCAGCACTTTTATTTGATAAAGTGATATCTCTTACCATGGTTTGATACAAAAAAAGCAATGAATTGTTTTATTCATGTGTATTTGTAAAATATTGTCATATTAGTCATATTTATTTGTAAAATTGACAGCAGATGATACTTACAAGAAGAAGATGATGATGTTTTAGCAAAATAGGTCTATCCATTTTTAAAATATAATTATTGGTAAAGGGTAGTTGACCTTCCTAAACAAACAAGACTGCATGTGGATGACCAGGGTTTGTCAGCACTTGTTTTTTAATAAAGTAATATCTCTTATCTAGTCATATTAGTCATATAGTTGTATTTATTTGTAAAATTTACAGCAGATGATACTTACGAGAAGAAGATGATGTTTTATAAAAATAGGTGTATCCATTTTAAAATACAATTATCAGTAGATTGTAGTTGAGCTAACTAAATAAACAAGACTGTAGGATGATCAGGGTTTGTCTGCAGGGTATGTCTGGTCAGGCACCTCTACATCAAATTAATGATTGCTGACAATTTTCTATGTTAAATCTATCTATCTATCTATCTATCTATCTATCTATCTATCTATCTATCTATATATATATATATATATATATATATATTTACACTACCAGAATGTGTATATATAACAATATACCATATATATAACAATATATACATACATACATACATGTATGTATGTATGTGTGTGTGTATGTGTGTGTGTGTGTGTGTATATATATATATATATATATATATATATATATATATATATATATAAATAATATAATTCAACTACCATATGTCTCTTTAGAATGTATATTTGTCCTACTGACAGGAACATGCATACCAAGTTGGCATTTAGCTGATCAGATATTCTTTTTGAACCGCTGTTATCAGATGAGATTTGCAGTAAAGGAGGCTCATTCAAAAAACAAAAAAAAACCTAAGTCCTGGTATACAAAGCAGCCATTCATGGCTTGCATTCTTCTGAAAAGGTGACTTTAATCAATTCGCTTTTCAGGCCTTGAAAATAATGGTTTCCTGAATTTGACAGTGTGTTTGAAACGTGGCTTTTGTCTTGTTGTTATTGAAGCTGGCTTGATATGTATGAACACCACAGATTGCTAAATTGTATAGATTGTTAATCACACCCACGGCTGACCTACACATTGTTTTACGCTCGGTCTCGGCAGGGTCACGGCACTCTCAGAGGCGCCTCTTTTCTTTTTGTTTTCTCAGGAGCTCTGTGAGATCTACTGTAGTGTGCGGTGAGACTTTGGGTTCTGTAAAGAAAAGCACCGTCTGGGTCGTAGAGAACTCGCAGTGACCTTGGTGTTTGGCAGGAGATCTGAGTGAAGGGTTACAGTTTGAGACTTCATGCTGTGTCATGCAGACCATATTACTGCCTTTGTGTCTTCTGAACGCTGTTGCATTTGGAGCTCGATGCAGAGCTGAGTCCTGAGAAGCTGGAAATCCAGTTTTGAGAAAATAAAGACTTGTTGGTTTAATTATTGCTGTTTGGAACTGTTAAGCGGGTCTAGGCATGGCATGATAACCGCTCACAAGGTATACCGCAGTTTGGAAAAGTCAAGGGTTGAAAAGCTGCCAAAATATTCTGCTATGCCGTTCTTATAGTACATGTAAGAATTTTTGTTTACGTTTTTTTTTTAGAACAAAAGTATCTCCAGCAGAAAAGATATCCAAAGATGCTGTTTTAAATCATAGAGAAATCTGTGTTTTTGATAATAATGAAGACAGCAGAAGTCAAAGATTCAATGATAGCTTGACATGTTTACTGCTCAAATATACTTTAAATGTTTTTTAAAATAATATATGTTGTGCTCAAAGACAAAAAAAGTTTTCGTTTTTTTACCCAGACATTTAAAAAGAATATAGTTTAAAGCAGTAATCACAATACTGTGAAACTGTGATGTTTTTATACATGGTTATCATACTGTCAGAATCTATATGTGATAAGGAAACACAGAAAACATTATATTTTAAATTGTTTTTATAGTTTTATTCTTTATATTGCAAGAGGTGACAGGCCAGGGGTCAGTTTTTCATACCTCACTTAAACGATTTAAGATAATTTGGCAGATAATCTTTTAATCTTGATAACTGATCTCTGGCTAATTTGGTTCTTCAAACAAGTTTGTGAATCAGATTAAAATGTCTGCATGTACTGATCTAAGATCGCTGCGTGCTGTGAAGGACTGATCTATCAATCCTCGAAATCATGATCAGCAATGCAACGATTGGCTGATGGCACAGCAGCGTAATGACATCATCTGATTAATATTCAGTTATCCATGTGAGCTAAATTACATAAAATTCATAGTAAATGTAAATATGTAAGTTTGTTAAATATGATTTGCCATAACTCGCCACCTTTGTGGGGTGCAGGCTTTATACTTTCATTTGTCAAGAACTTTTATCAATTTTTTTAGTTTTACATTTAGAGCGGATTAATGATTAATGAATTAAATTAATTCTGCAGTCTGAAGCTTTTGCAAAGCATTAAAACATCAGCATAGGCTATTATCTGTCTAAACATGTGAATGACAGCATAAAATATTACTCCTTTAATATTGTCCATGTTGTCTTTTATCATAGACAAATTGTACTGGATCGGTACCTTAAAATAGTACACGTTTGTATCTAAAAAGTCCATATTGATAAATGTTCTCTTTGAACCCATTGGGTAGAGAACACCCCATGACAGTTTTTGTACTTTTATTTCAGAGTGTAGATTGCATAAGTTTTAATTTCATATTTTTAAATGTATATTTAACTTGTGTTTATATAACATTTTAAACAATTTTACTATCTTCCCAAGTGTGTATAGGTTACTACTATTACAAAATATCATACTTTCAGTATTACCTTTGCTTTAAATGAGCCAATTTAATCCTGTTTATATGAAATAAGCATGCTCAAGAGCAGGGGTCCGTTCTTCGTACCTCGCTTAAATGATCTAAGATGATTTGGCAGATCCTGGATCTTTTAATCTTGATAACTGATCTCTCGCTAATTTGGTTCTTCAAACAAGTTCGCGAATCAGATTAGAATGTCTGGATGAACTGATCTGAGATCGCTGCGTGTGTTGTGAAGGACAGATCTATCGATCCTCGAAATCATGATCAGCAATGCAACGATTGGCTGACGGCACAGCAGCGTAATGACATCATCTGATTAATATTCAATTATCCATGTGAGCAAAATTACATCAAATTAGCAGTAAACGGCTTGTTAAATATGACACGCAATAACCTTCCACATTTGTTGTGAGCTGCAGGCTTAAACTTTCATTTGTCAAGACAAGAGTATTCATCATGTATTTCAATGCAAATAAATGTATTTAGTTCTACGTTTAGAAAAGATTTTCTTTATAATAGTAGCCGTTTTTAATCGGTGTAAAGAATAACTGGTTGTTTCCAAAAACATTTTCATATTGGTAAAGGTGTCTGCAACTTTTGTGAAGCATCAAATCACCGTCATATTAACTATCAAAACATGTTTATGACTGCATAAATGTATTATTGCTTTTAAAAAAAAGTCACATATAGTGCATTTCTATTATACACTATTTGTACTAAAGCGATCTAAAAAGTTCATATCAATAAGTTTTCTCTTTGCACCACCAGGTGACAGTCTTTGTACTTTCATTTCGAGGGTGCAGATTGCATACGTTTTAATAATATGTATAACTTTATTTATTTTATTAATGACTATAACTTTATATATATATATATAGTTAAAAAATATGTACAATTTTCCCAAGTGTATATAACTACTACTGTAAGAAAATATCAGAATTCGGAGCATACTTTCTGTATTATCTTTGCTTGAACTGAGCCGATCTAATCCTGTTTATATGAATTGAACCTGCTCCCGATCAGGTTTGACCTAGCAGAACTGTTGCCATGACAACAACTCTCGGATCAGCTTTGAAGAACGAAACGATCCTGGATCGTGTCAAATCGTCAATATCCAAATCCAGCTAACTGAGTAATCCACGTACGAAGAACGGACCCCAGGTTTGAGCTACTAGACTTGTTGCTATGACAACAGCTCTCAGGTGAGTTTTGAAGAACGAAACGATCCTGGATCATGTCAAATCGTCAATAACCAAATCCAGCTAATTAAGTAATACTTGTTCGAAGAATGGACCACAGGGCACAACAATATTGATTTTGATTATCTGGTTGAGTCTCAGGCTAATTTCAATTTTACATTTGTTCTATAATAATAATATTAACAACAATACTAAAAATAATAATATATGCATTTTGAATGTTGAAGATCATTTAACTTATTCAGGTAGCAAAACAAGCTTTTTAGGTTATTTGTTAAACTGTTATAACTGTTTTGATATATAAAACAATACAAAAGTTGGGGGTAGGCATGGGCTAGTATAAGATTCAGACAGTAGGATAACCTTGAATAAAAATATCACAGTTTCACGGTATTGTAATTACTGCTCTAGAGTTCTTTTAAATGTCTAGGTAAAAAAAACTATTTCCCCCATTGAACACAATATATTTTATTTTGAGAAACATTTAAAATATTTTGGAACATGTCAGGCTAAATAATTCAAATAAATCATAGACTTCTGCTGTCTTCATTAGTTTCAAAAACGCTGATTTCTTTAAAACACATAAAAAACCTTACTTTTATCATAGGGTTGTAGCGGTTTTAAAACCTTGACTTTTTCAAACCACTGTAAACCTTGAAACCGGTTATCATCCCAGTTCTAGTTTGGGGTCAGCAAGATTTTTATTTTTTTGACAGAAAATAATAATTTTATTCAACAAGAAAGATGCATTGAATTGGTAAAAGTGACAGTGAAGACATTTATAATGTAAAAATAATCATTTCATGAGTGCTGTTGTTTTTAATTGACCAGTCATTAAGGAGTTCTGCAACTGTTTTCATTATTGATAATTACAATAATTCAAAGCACCAATGGATATAGCCATTGTTGCTGACATGGCATTACAACATAAACAAATCTTTCACTATGTATCTAATTTGGACAAAATAAATGCAGCCTTGGTGTGCATAAGAGGTATAAATAATTAATAAATAAATACAAATAAATAAATAAACAATTAAATAAAATATTTTTTTTGTTTTTTTTGAGAGTTCAGCATCACTCATCAACCATGTGATTTTGCAATGTTTACAAACACCATATGTGAAGATACTGCAGTGCATTGTGCACAGTTAAAGCTTCCTGCCAGCCTTGCTTTTGGATTCTGATTAAAGGTTTTTTCTTCACTCATTATTTCTCTCTTACTTCCTGTAATCCTGCAGGTCTGCGGTGCTGCTTTTGGCTCCTCTCCTGGCAGAGGCAGATTCAGCACCCCTGGCCTCCTCCAGACCTCCAGGCTTCACTGGCGTCGAGAGCCTTCACTCCCGCTTCCACTGGATGGCGGATCATGTACCGGCTTTCAAAGTCCCTGGGGGCCACATTCGCGTCCTCCACTCACCTGATGAGTTTTATCAAGCCATGAAGGTGTGTGTTTGTGTATTTACTGGGTGAAACCCAAGTAATTGCACCTTCAAAGAAGGTTATAAAACTATATATCTTTAATATTGGATGACCCATATAATTAATCTAACTCAAATTAGTTACTCTCTATTACAGTTGTATTTATTTGTAAAGTTGACAGCAGATGATACTTAGAAGAAGTTGATGATGGTATATCAAAATAGGTGGATATCTCAATATCTCAAGCATACAAACGTCAGACAGCCACTACTTTGTTCAGAGCTGACCCCAGACCTGTGAAATGATCCACAAAGTACAATCTGTTTCTTACCCAAGGCTGAGTGTACTCTCAGCCATCTTATCCAAACTGGTTAAAAACTGGTACAATCTACATCCAAACTGGCAGCTTGCATACAAAAGAGTTTACTTTAAAAGTTTTAGCATAGGACTGGGGCCTGGGCCGATAAACGATATTATATTGAATCGCAATAAAATTTATGTCAATAATAATAATAAGCTTTGGACTTTTTTAACTCTATATTGATCTAAGAGCCAATCACACAGCAGAAATGTGCAATATTAGAAGTCTAAAAGTGTGTTGACATGAGAGAATTACTGACATTTCGGCCACCGAAGAATTATCGGCTGTAAATAGGTTATGCCATTTAATGGACCCTCTAATTTTTGTGGCTTCAGTCATTGTTGGGGTTCTCTTTTAAATCTGAAAGCATTAACAACTTGTATCGAAATATATATCATTATCATTCGATATGGAATATAAGTATCGATATTGCATTTTTACCCTATCGCCCAGCCAGATCCACTCGAGGTCTCTGATCTGCCTGGGTAGATCCTGAAGAAACAAATCATTTGGAATACAGAAAAAGCAATGACACATATTATTCTAGTTTTACTCTGAAATGTGATGACACTAAGGTCATCATATGATCTAGGCCAGGGGTAACCAATCTTGGTGCTGGAGGGCCGGTGTCCGTGCAGGGTTTAGCTCCCACTTGCCTCAACACAGCTGCCTGGATGTTTCAAGTATACCTAGTAAGACCTTGATTAGCATTTTAGGTGTGTTTGATTAGGGTTGGAGCTAAAATCTGCAGGACACCGGCCCTCCAGGAACAAGTTTGGTGACCACTGATCTAGGCTCTTANACATTCAACTTAATTAATAATCATTAAGACATAAGAAAGGATGTGTGTTACTCCATCCTGTAGCAGACATTCATCAGGAAACCCACACCATTAAACTATCAAATGTATGATTTTACATTCTTTGTAAAATATCACTCTTGTGTAATCAATGAAAGACATGGAAGTAAAATTCAAATTTGGTTTTTTGTTTGTTTGTTTGTTTGTGTTTTTGTTTAATAATGTAGCTTTGGAAATTTTTTAAAAACCCCTTCAAACTTATTCTCAGTTGTATGCATTTGCCGTTTATACATACATGTTTTGAGTAAAAAATATCAAGTTATGTTTTATGTAGTAAATAATGACAACATGTTTGAAAAATGTAAAAAAAAGAAAAAAAGGAGTTTTATTTCAAGCATTTATTTACAGAATATTATATTATCTTTACATTTATTTTTAAGTTTATTTTTTTTAATTTAAGTTTGAATTAAATCATGCAAGATTTTATAATCACCATTTTCTGCCAGTTTTAAGGACAGTTGTTTACAAAGTAGATATAAAACACAAATGAACATTTTACTCAAACCATAAATGTATTAATGGATAATCTTTGGGAGCCAATAAAAACATTTGAAGTGGATTTTTAATTAGCTTGAAATTGCAGTGTCTCTCATTAAATGTGTTCTTTCTGTTTGCACAGGCTCGTATCAAGACAGCCAAGAGTCGTGTGGTGATGGCATCTCTGTATCTGGGCACAGGACCACTAGAGCAAGACCTGGTACATTTACTATCACTGAGCTATAATGAAGCACTGTCCAAGCAGGAAAAGATTGTGACTGTGACCTGATTGAGAATTTACATAAGAGGAAACTGATCAGGGAAGCACAGGCATATCTAGCTTTCTGTTGTAACCCCAAAAGACAATGAAGAACTTAAACAGCAAATCAAACAACAAGAGTAGCTCATGTCACAATTAAAGTCAGATTTGCTGAAAGTAAGAGAATAACTTTTTAAAAATGTATTCCCAGGAAGAATTTTAAGTCATCATATTCGAACTGAGAAATCATATCCAATGTTTTTAATGTAAAATTATTCATTTATTATTTTTTTGTATCTTCTCTTATTGAATTATGAAGTTGTTAGTATTCTGTAATATTTATTTATTTAGTAATCTTGTCATGAAATAGCCACAAGTTCCTGTTGTGGCAATAAATAGACAAACAAACATACAAACAAATAAAACCTCAGAAGAAATGCGGATCTTGATCTGCTTATGTTGATGAAATCTCGTTAGGAACGTTTTATTTATTCACCATCTAGTTTCCTTGTTCAAATCAACATGCAAAACTAGCCAGGCAAGTCTTGAGTTTACTGCACGAGAATACAAAGATGGTGTAAACTCCTGTGAACTCTACTATTGAGTACAGTACAGTACAGTATATGTAATTAGAGGCTTTCATAAACCACTATCTAATTTCTTTTGAAGGTTGATTGCATGGAAGAAGCATTAGAGCGCTCACAGGAAGATCACACACCTGATCTCAAAGTGTCGTTTCTGCTGGATTATACCAGAGGCTCTAGAGGTCTGTTTTACACACTCCATCACAAACACACAGTCTGTTTGGACAGAGACAACTGCCATATTTAAATAAAAGGCATCGTTCACCCAAAAATGAAAATCCAATCATCAGTTGCTAACCCTCCTCTTGTTCCAAACCTGTTTGAGTTTATATTTATCCTGTTGAACACAAAGGATGATTTGGTGAAGGTATTTTAAACTGGTACATCTTGACTTTCATGGTATTTTATGGATGTCAGTGGCTGCTGGCTTTCAACATTTAGCAGAAAGGCAAGTCTCAAGGAGGTTTGGGTCCACTTAGTTACCCACCCAAAAAAAGAAAATTCTGTCATTATTTATTCAGCTCTTACTTGTTTTAAAGCTTTTTAAATTTCTTTATTCTGTTTTACCCAAAAGACGTTATTTTAAATATGCTGGAAACCTGTAACTATTTATACGGTCCTGGAAAACCTGGAAACGTCTTGAAATTTCGAAAAGGCATTTTCCAGGCCTGAAAAAGTTTTGGCAAAATAAATAAACCAAATAAAACAAATAAAAACAAAACAAAATTAAATTTGAACAGGCATTTTTTTTTTATTTACAAGTGTATGTAGACAATACATGAAACGCAAAACAAGATCATGAATATTTACCTGAAAGTTTTGTAAAAGTCATGGAGAAGTCATGGAATTTTAGTAGTAAAAATGTGTATGAACCGTGCCATTGGCTTTCATAGTATTTGTTTTTCCTACTATTGAAGTCAATGGTTACAGGTTTTCAGCATTCTTTAAAATATCTTCTTTAGTGTTCAACAGAAGAAAGAAAGTCTTAAAGGTTTGAAACTACTAGAGCAGGGGTGGCCAATCCCGTTCCTGCAGATTTCAGTTGCAACCCTTATCAAACACACCTTTCTGTAATTATCAAGTGGATTTCTGGTCCTAATTAATTGGTTCAGGTGCGTTTGATCAGGGTAGTAGCTAAACTGTACAGGAAGGTAGATCTCCAGGAACAGGATTGAGCACCCCTGCACTAGAGGCTGACTAAATAGTGGGTAAATGCTTAGTTTTGGGTGAACTGTCCCTGTTAGTGTGATTTTAATGAGTGCATTTTCTTTCATGGTGGTTTTCTTTTAATCCTTTGAATTGTTGCATTGTAGCCTGAAAAAAAATACCATAATATTCTGTTTCAGTATGATTCAAACAATCAATGCTATAGTTTACAGTTTGCTCATTTAAAGTGCCCCTATTATGCATTATAAAAGGTCATATTTTGGCTTTGGGAGTCCCCAACAACCGGCTGATATGCTTGCAAGGGCAAAAAACACTTTCATAGTCTTATAATTTGCATTTATTTTTACCCAAGTATCCCAACGACTCTATTATGATTTGTTCAGTGATTCATTTTTCTAAACCTTTCCTTTTGGGGACATTGATCAGCAGTTGTTGGTCCAATGATCTAGTCTGTTGTGATTGGACTGACTGCACAGAGCATTATAGTTTTATAAGTGTTGAATCAATAAGCAGCCACTGTACAGAGTGTATGTGTGAGCCTAATTCTGGAGCATATTGATAAAGCACTCCAGTGTGTACACCAGCATAATACTCTAATCTTAAACAGAACCCCAAGTAATAACAAGTGGACAGGCAATATTTCATTCTGATGAAACTCCTAAAGATCCATTTGAACAGTGATTCAAATGATTGACTCTGAGTGGACTCTTTCTTTTTGAGAGTCAGTAATTATATACGGATTGTGCTCTTTCAGGTTTACATTTAAGCTGTACGTTTTTATTCACTGTGTGCTGTTACACACTGTGTAAAAGGTCTAAAAGCCATATTAAGGGCACATAAATAATGAGCATTTTAAATGAGTTACATTCGCATGCTTGTGTAAAATACACACATCTTATATGTCATTACAATAAGGTTCTATTAGTTAATGAATCAAGTATAAAAAACACTTGTACAGCATTTAGTAATCATAGTTCAACATTTACTAATGTGATATTAAAATAATAAAAAACGCTTGTTTCATTATTGCAGTGCGAGTTATCATGAGCCAACAATGAGCAACTGTTGTTTTATTAACTAACATTAACAAGGATTATTAAACATTGAAATAAATGTATGTTCGTTGTTTGCTATGGAATAGACATGAAGGCAGGGATTGGCTTCAAATGTAGTTTATTATGAGAGTAGTGAGACAGGCAGAGGTCGAAAACCAACAATGACAACAGCAGAGTAAAGCATAATTCAGAGAATGCTTGATGGACATCAAGCGTTCTCCAGCCCTCGGCGCCTAGACTGCAGCTCTGTACAAGATAGAAGTTTGGCCAGAGGAGAAATGGTTGTGCTCAACAGAGCCTGTTTTACCTCAAGGTTTTTTTTTCCTTCACTTGCGTCAATTGGTAAAGTTTTTCAGTGTTCCACTGGCTTGCTTGGCTTAGGACTTGTGGAGCTGTGCATCGATAGATTTGCTCTTCAGTGTTTGGACTTTCAGTATTGAAAATTAAACCACACTGAACTAAACTAAACTGAACTTCAACTCTGAAAACTGGACTAACGCAGTTTTAATTTACTAGAACTTATACGTTAAGCTACTCTGACACAATCTACATTGTAAAAGCGGTATAGAATAAAGATTAATTGAATTTGATTGAATTCGTATAACAGAAAAAGGATCTAGACAGGCGGCAAACAATCAAAAATGAAAGCAGTCTAAATTGTCAAAAAATATGGAAAAGGCATAAACAATTGAAAACCCTTGGTGATGACTGCAACATCTAGTCAAGACTTGAGTGTAAATGGTGTATATATTATCCATATAATCATAGATAATGTCCTACAGCTCTGTTAGTGTAATCAGGGGGAAACTTGAAACCAGTGTGTGAATACAAGATATAATAGGATTTGTAGTTCGTAAGGATACAACCCACGAGTTCAACAACAACAGTTTATTCATGTAAATGCTTTAACTAACATGAACTAATACAACTTTATTGTAAAGTGTTACCAGAATCAGATATCTACACTTAAAATGTGGATCTTATTGTATCTCTAGTAAACATCAGTGTGGACAATTAGTCCCAAAGACTGGATTTCAAATCTAGATCAAATTTGTGTTGTGTGAACAAAGCTTTACATTCTCTCTAACTCATTTCCTTCTTTATTGTTCTGTTGTTTTCTTTTTGAACTTTGTATTTTGAAAAGTTCATTTTTTCAATCAGATTCCTGTGAAACTATCAGAAGGAAATCATACCTACAGGAAACCCCCTGCTCGTGTTCATTTCCCTTTCTGAGTAATAGGCATGCGCCACGTCTGTTCTGATTGAAAAGCAATGGGTGTAATTTTGGAGCTCATCCAGTCTTGGTAATTATAGGTTAGAGTTCAGACCTCCTCCCTCCCCTTTTTTTTACTTTTCTTTTACCTTGCAGATTACCTAACAGGAACTTAGTCATTCTATTAACTGCTTTCAGTGTGCTGTAGAACTCACCCGATGATGCTGTGAGAATTCATAATCTAATCATTTACAGTAACTCTGGCATCATATTGCAGAGAAGACCTTCATTTAGTGGTTCAGTTTTAACATGATCTCATGGAATGAGGCAGAAAAGACATTCATTCTTAATACGAGTTGGTATATTTATTATATAGAATTATGATTTTGGTCACACTTTGCAATAAGGTTCCATTAATTATTGTATTTATTAACATGAACTAATAATGAGCAACTTAATTTCCATTAGGTAACATTAACAAGAATGAATAAATACTGTAATAAATGTGTTGTTTATTATTTATTCATGTTAATAAACTGTTTATTACAGTGTTTAATAATCCTTGTTAATGTTAGTTAATAAAACTACATTAACTTATGAAAGCTTATTGTAAAGTGTTACCATAATGTTTTTGTAATTACTGTAAAGAAGATTCATACTGTCAAGATTGTATCTAATGTTTCCAAAAACAATTTCTCTGTTTTGGTTTCCTGAAAAATACATTTTCCTGTCACCTAACAACAATTGACAACAAACGTACATATGTAAATGTAGTATTTCTTATTACATCATTTAAAATTAAATAAACAAATGCATATTTCATAACTAAGACATCACTAATAGAATAAATAAAATATAACCAATTTATTTGATGTTTTTAATTAAAGAGCACCCATTTGACACCATTTTCAAGATTTAAGAAAAGTCTTTTGTGTCTCCAAAAGTCTCTGTAAAATTTCAGTTCCAAACACCCATCAGATTATTTATTATACCTTTAAGTGTATTGGAATTTTCTACTTTGAACACAATGCAGCTGTTTTTGTCACCTGAGGCTTTAATGCTAGTTCTCCACACCCACTGTTCCCATGTTCTTGTCATAGTGTTTCTCAATCTTCGCCTCGGCTGCGTCAGATAAGCAGCACTGTGACAGACATGAAGGAAGCAGATCTCGCGTAACGTTTGTGAGAAATACTACAGTAAGAACTTTCCCAATAATTATTTGATGTATTTGTTGTGAAGTTAAGTGTTTCTGCAATGATGAGTCCCACACAATGTCATTACAAATTTCACGCACACACAGACGCACACACACAGGATCATTGCGAGCTAAACAGATCTTTTAATCCAAGTTGCTCTGCACACGTCCTGTCTTGTTGATATGATTAAACGTGTTACTGTGGAGATATGTTAATATGGTGCTGTCAATACGGTGGGCGGGGAAACCACACTACATCACGTTGCGGTAGACTTCAAACTAGGAGTTTGAACTAGGATTTGGATCCCATTTTAACGTCGGGTCATTTAAAAAAAGAGACTTCTTGTCTTTATATCACCCCAATATACATTTACACAGTTCTGTCTAAACAGCTTCTAAAGGATGATTTCATAGGTGCCCTAAGTCTAATAAATTGCAGAAATTTTTTTTTTTGTAAAATGTGCTATATGTGAAGTAAACTTTTATTCACGTACTAAAACAT